AGCATCGATGAAGCCACCCGAAAGTTGCACGCGACGCAGGCCTGCATGGTTGAGCTGTTGAGTCCATGGAATTCGCCTTTCATGAAGCACCACTATTGATGTCAGCTTCCAGTGTACTTCATTGCTTTCGCCACGATCTCTTGCAGGCCAATGCGCCGGCAGAGGTTTGCAAAGGCAGTGCGAGTAGTGCCAGCAGTGAGAGTGGGCTCTTGGAAAAGCGGCGTGACTCGCTGGACGCCAAGCTGGAGGCAATCTTGGAGATCGGAGAAGTGTACCATAGCGAAAGCATCCTACCGAGTGAGCCGACAAAGATGTGCAACGTTCAGCTGGAAGACAAGGACTGGGGAGCTTGCCTTCACATGTTACACTGTTCCTTGCAACCAAAGAAGCACTAGGTTGCGTATTGAGTTGATTACATATGATGATGCCGGCTTACATAGCCGTTGCTTGTCATTGGCATAGGGTAAGGCAGAGAAGTAAAGCTGCGGCTCACCCCAGGATGATCGGATGCTCGTTCCCGCTGCCATCAGATTTGAGCGCCCACGCTGCGGCCTCATTTGAAATCAGAAGTGGGTTCTCTCCAAGGTAGGGTGGTTGGATTCCCCCGCTCCGCCCCAAGACTGGGGTCACCAAACGATGGACCTCTGGCTGGACATGAGAAGCACCATTGCTCTGTTTTAATCATGAGGAGGCCCCACGTCACTTAGCCTGCCGCAGGCTGGGCGGATTTATGCTCAGATTCGGACGAGGCGCGAGGGAGTACACGTTGCAACCGTAAAATGCCTACAGGAAACCAACCGAAGACCTTTCTGAAGATGCCACAACAAGCCAGCAATTACTTGAGTTGTTTGCTGTTGATGTTGCCCAAGTGCTGCGATACGGTTTGAGCAGGCTGATGCTCCGATGCCTAGCTTGACCAGTGCAAAGGCTGGGCGAGAGAGAGAGCTTGAGCTCCAGTGCGTAGTTGCGAGGCTCTAACGGATGAGCCGCTACCGAGCTCTAAACTTGAAACAAACACTCCTGGCCAAGAGCTCAAACAGCAACATTGAATGCCAGAGGTGCTAGGCACACACACACACACACAAGCATTGTTTTGGTTTCGGCAGCATTTTTCATGTTTTGCTCAATTCTTCCGCGCACGGCTTTATTTGTTCGAAGTCATGAGTGATATGGAGGATTGCAATGATCATGGCGTTGCGCTTTGTTGGCTTGATGCCACAGGGAAACAGCCACGGGCTTTGATTACCAAGCACATTTGTTCTGCCTGCGGACGTTACTCGCCTTGATTCAGAACCATCATTGGCATCATCAGTGCCATGAACACTAGCACATTCTCATCCCCATGGGGAGTCACTATGTTGGTCATTATTCGCTATGAACGACGTCGTCGTCGTCGTCGTCGTCGTCGTCGTCGTCGTCCTCATCATCATCATCATCATCATCATCATCATCATCATGATGCACATCTCGCCGCTACCTTGTCACTGCCACCACCGACACCGTCACCATCATCACCTCTTCAGCTTTGCGATGACTCGAAAGTGCTCCTGTAAATTTGCAACTGTGTCTATTTTCCTTTACGCAAAGCTTTGACTGGGCGCTGCGGTGCAGAGATGCTTTAGTCAGCTGGATTCCGCACTTCCTTCGACCAGCACACGTTGTCATGTATGAGTGGGCAGCAAGGCTTGCGCAGGCTTGCGGCTTGTTGTTGAGAGCATTTTTCTGTGCTGCCATTGCCCTCATCAACTCACAAAGGACAGAATGGTTAGACAGTCACATAGTCATGCGAACCTGATCACTTCTTGCCTCGGCAGCTTTCCCTGCAGGCAAATTCCACGCCATCCTTGGCTCAATGCATCAGGCAGGTTGGGCTGGATTCTGTTCGCAGAGCATCCCCGACTTCCGAAGCAGCTGCCGCCGTGCAAATCATCCAATGTTGGGGAAAGGCCCTGCCATGCTTTTGAGGCCTTCTCTGTAACAACAAATGTCAGAAGTGTGGCGGTCGTGTGGCGGTAGCGTGGCGTTAGTAAGGCAGTGCGGTGGAAGTGCGGCGGTAGTGCGGCGAAAGTGTGGCGGAAGTGTGGCGGTAGTGCGGCGGAAGTTTGGCGGTAGTGCGGCGGAAGTTTGGCGGTAGTGTGGCGGCAGTGTGGCGGCTGCGCGGCGGAAGTGCGGCGGTAGTGTGGCGCTAGTGTGGCGAAAATGTGGTGGAAGCGTGGCAAAAGTGTGGCGGTAGAAGTGGCGGCAGTGTGGCAACTGTGTGGCGGCGGTAGTGTGGCGGAAATGTGGCGGCCGTGTGGCGAAAGTGTGGCGGAAGTGTGTGTGTGTGTGTGGCAGTAGTGCGGCGGTAGTGTGGCGGCAGTGTGGCGGCTGCGTGGCGGAAGCGTGTGTGTGTGTGTGTCAGTAGTGCGGCGGTAGTGTGGCGGCAGTGTGGCGGCTGCGTGGCGGAAGTGTGGCGGAAGCGTGGCGGTAGTGTGGCGGCAGTGTGGTGGCTGCGTGGCGGTAGTGTGGCGGCAGTGTGGCGGTAGTGTGGCGGCTGCGTGGCGGAAGTGCGGCGGTAACGTGGCGCTAGTGTGGCGGAAGTGTGGCGGAAGCGTGGCGGAAGTGTGGCGGAAGTGTGGCGGAAGCGTGGCGGAAGTGTGGCGGAAGCGTGGCGGAAGTGTGGCGGTAGTGTGGCGGAAGTGTGGCGGTAGTGTGGCGGTTGCGTGGCGGAAGTGTGGCGGCTGCGTGGCAGTAGTGTGGCGGAAGTGTTGCGGAAGCGTGAGGGCAGTGTGGCAACTGTGTGGCGGTAGTGTGGTGGAAGTGTGGCGGAGGTGTGGCGGCTGTGTGGCGGCTGCGTGCGGAAGTGTGGCGGGAGCGTGGCAGTAGTGTGGTGGTAGCGCTGGCTGATTCTTGACATTCTGGGCGAATGACAGGCCTGGTAGAGCCATTCTCCAAATCCAACGCATTCCTAAAGTAGCGCGAGATTCTTAAATCTAGGCACCATATGAGTTGGGAATCCCCAAATATGCACTGGCAAGACTAGATTTGGTATTCCTGATACTTCATTTAGTCTCGCCCAACTCGAGCCCATGCCCAATCCCACCAAAGAGAAACTCGTGGACATTTTGAACCGTTAGCGCTGTTTGAGGGGAGTTACATTCACATTCAAGCAGACCCGACAAGAGACAAACCCAGACCCGCCGAAGCCAGCCCGAAAACCACTCTGGAGCCCTGCTCTAGAGGAACCCTACGCCTACACCAAAGCGGAAACCCACCCCAAAGAAACCTGAAACCCACCCAAGCCCAGCAAGCACAATGGTAATGCTGGATGAAAAAGACGATTTTTCAAACAGGGCCCCCTCCCCTTAGTAGCCCTCTAAATCAAAACTAGTCAAACATCATCAAAGCCACGAATTGGTACGTGCCGCCTTGCCTCCTGAAAGCTTCCAGCCACGGCCGGTTTTGAAGCCAGAACAGCAAGCCTCAGAGTGAGAAACTACATGCAAATTAAGAAAGCTAGCAATGGGTAGCGCGGAGAGCCTTGCGGGCGGAGGGGAGTTGCAGGTGTTCTAAATGCCGTCCCTGCCAGGTGCTCCAGACACTTGGCGCGATCCTCTTTCAGTAGACGTGCGTGGCGCCAGGCTGCACATGTTGTCGAATGTTCGTCTCAATGTGGAGTCTTGGCGCCCCTTGGCTCTTGAAAGCGTCAACGCTCTATTCGGGGCCGTTTGCGTGTCTATTTGTCTTGCAGGTCAGAGGCAAGGGCGGTCAGGGCCAGCGCAAACCCGACAGCCCCAGACTTAGGCTTGCAAGCTCACGATTACTTGGCTGAGAGCTATACCTTGGCTGAGGCGCTTGTTGCCGAGACTGCAGCCGCACCAGCTCAGAGGTGCCAGACTCTCAGAGAACACGTCTAGGCTTAGCAAACCGTGGGACTTCAAAGAAATGAAATACATGGGGGAGACTAAGTCGCATCGGCTTGTCTAAAGTCGCGAGTGTGACCAGCGGGGAAGCATCCCCAGAGGCAATCGGCCCAACTGCGTGCGCTGGAGCGGGGTCCCTCTGAAGCAGCGTGGCCGGTGGGTAAACACACAGCAGGGTGCTTTGTGCTTGCTACGCGGCGCGCTCTGTGGAGGTGCGTGGCCAGTGTGACTTGATGACCAGAAAAATGGCGTGGTCGATGGGGAAAGCATCCTCGCAGGCAACCGGCCCAACTGTGTGCGTTGGAACGGGGTCTCGCCGAAGCAGCACGGCCGGTGGGAAAACACAAAGCAGGGCGTCAGCTGCATGCTTTAGGCTTGCCTACTGTGGGGGCGCGTAGCCAATTGCCTGGCGTACGGGCTCAAAACTTGATGACCGTATAGAAAACTGGCGGTCAGCGCGAGGCAGATGAACAATTTGGCAGAAACACATAGCTTGACCTACGCGAGCGGCTAGTTTTGCGGCAGACCGTGGCGCAAGCTGTGGAAGCGAGTGGCCAGCGTGATTTTGCGTTCCTGCGACTTGCAGGGAACTCAAAGCTTAATGACCAGACGTGCGCTGTGGAAGGCCTGTGCGATTTGCATTCCCGCGGCTGGCTTTGGAACTCAAAACTTGATGACCAAGAAGCTGGCGTGGCCAGTGAAGAAGCGCATGAAAGATCATCACTTGTTCGCTGGATGTTATCTGAAAAACCTGCTTTTGCCTCGGCGTGGGGCGCAATCAATCGGCTAGTTTTGCGGCAGAGCACGGTGGGCACTGTGGAAGCGCGTGGCCAGGGTGCCATTAAATTCATGTTGCATGATGTGACTTCACGCGCGCTAATCTGACTTCGCGCGTGTGCGCGTGGCCATGCAGTGATGTGACTGTACGCGCATTGATGTGACTTAACGCGACCGCATGTAGCCGGTTAACTTGGATTCCGTTTGATATATCCTATGTGTGGAGGTCTGAGTCCAGCCGGGCAGCGCTCTGCCTGTTTTTACTTTCAGTTCACATGTTTGGGTCACAGCGTTAGGCTGCTCTCATCGAAGGGTGTGGCTTTTGTAGTCAGTCATGCTGTGGAGGTTGGGAGTCTCATTTATATCATTCTGGTGAACTTGGCACAAGGATAGGCTGTTATTTCCTTGCTCGTGAGTCCAGGCCAGTCGAGCTCACAGGCAAGGTTGCCAGCGGTTAGTGCACTCGCTGTCCGCAAACAGCGGACAGCATGGGGTGAGGTTGAAGCTATCCGCGTGCCGCAAACTGCGGGACCGTTTTCGAGCTGCCTCCCTGCTCCCTGCTTTGCTCTGCCCTATTGACTTGGATAGACATCCAATGCTAATGGAGATGCGATTGGAGATGCATCTTGTTTTGCATCCAAAAGGGCAGACATGGCAATCCAGACTTTAGTCAGTGGCGCAGTTGCCGTGTTTTGTCATAATCTTCTTGCAGTAGGGTTTGCAATAGAGGACTGAGCGGACAAGCCACGGCAAGGCCAGTGTAAATGTCATAAGAAGGTCGCTGGTATTATTCCAGCGGCTCTGTATCCCGTTGCAAGACGATTGACCGTGAATGCTGTAAAACTAGATGCAGCTCTGCTCGTCAGCGCCAGCACAAAGTGAACGGTATTTCTAATCTGCAGAGAGAGAACTGTCCATTCCGCAGCCCTTTTAGTCTTAAGGGAGATGATGGGGTTCAGTGCGCGCTTCCCCAGTAGTGCCCTCAATAGCCAGGCTTCATTCGCAGAACTTGGTCAACCTTTTTTCTGTGGTTTCAGACTCAGAGAACAGCATAGCTGAGGCGGCTTTCTGGTGCTGCGATGGGGGATGACTTGTCCAGCAGACCGCTCAGCACTTGTCAAAAAGTGTTTATGGAAGCAGAGACGCATCACTTGCAAACACATCTATGATTTTTTGCAGGTGATCCGATTGTCAAAGCGCTGCAAAGGAGCACAATTGCTCAGACATTGAAGGCAAAAATGCATTGTCGTGTTGCTTGCATATTTCGCGTTGCTTGCAATGATTTGATTCAATCTGCACTCTGCAGGCGGCCCGAGCCTCGCTCGCCGAGCCTTCTCGTCCATTCACTCCTTTGGACCGGCCATGGCCCCAATGCCCACCGCCACAATCAAAACCTGGTATAGCTGAAGCTTAGTAGGGAATTCTCAGAACACTGAGTCACCGTTTGATTGTTTACATGGTTGCCGGAGGACTCTGAATACAGATGTGATTCCGGCTGACTCACCAGCGATTGGCTGCACTTTCTCCATGATAGCCAGGTCACTTTTCCAGCGCCCCAACGAGGGAAGCGACCCCAGGCAACGCGGAGTGATCGAACGCGTCAATATATGATTGAAGATACAACGGCCCTCTATTGCTCTTTTTGCCCGGAGTCATGGCAACTTCAAACGTCCCGACTTCCTTAAAAGGTTCCAAAGATTTCAGTTTATGGTTTCGCGCTTAGATATTATGATGATTGAACAGAAAGGCCGCTCTCCATGCTGATGCTTTGCAGTTTCGATTGGAGATGCCGACTCTATAATCCAAGATGATTGTATGACTCATGACAATGGTATCCCTTCGTGAGGTATAATATCAACATGTTTGTGCGCGTGTGGGTTTGTGTCTTTGATTGTGCATTTATGTCTGCCAAGGCAATGCCAACATTCCAGGAGTAGTCACCATGCTCACAAACTGTTGTAACGACAGGCCAACGTCCAGCTACGGAGTGCTCCTCTCAGATGTAGAGGGCCAACCCCGTGGATTGTCAGACAAGCAGGAAGCTGCTCAAACACTCCGGATTTACTCTGGATTCAGGTCGATCAGCTGGCCTTTGTCCGTGATACTTTTGGCGGCACAGGCGCCCGACTGGCACGCGTCACGAACATGAAAGCAGCTCGTGTTGCGAGGCGGACGGCCTGAGTCGGCTCGATCGAGCAGGCTTGGCAGCCAAGGGTTCTGAAGCGGATCTATAGCCATGACTTGGCACTGAGTCTACTATCTCGCTCATTTGGCAGTTCGTCATTCATGAAAATGGGCTGGCTGACGGTTGCCAGATCCTCACGTACAAGACCAGACACTATTGCAGAGGAAGAGGATGGCAATAGTCTCAGCTCAACTACTCGACACATTGTTTGCTCATGTTCGTATTGAATGCGGTATGGCCTGATGAGGCGGACGTGGACCAGACATTTTGCGCCTAGATGATGAGGAGGCAAAGGAACTAATTGGGGGTTCCGTTGCAGCATGTACTTTCCCAGTGCAGGCAGCAGACAGCAGCGGCAGTGAAGAACTGACTCCTGTTGTAGGCCAGAGCCACAGATAGATACGGCAGGTTGACGAGCATGAGATATGAAGCAGCAAGTATTTGCCAGAACTGACGGAACCCTGGACATAGCTACTTAGCCTACTATTACTAGGCCTGTTTGCGGGACAATCACTATGCTTCAATGAGGATTTTAGCAACTGCTATGATATGCCCCTTCAAAGGCGAGCCACATATTTGCATGGGGAAATGTTTAGACTGTGAAAACAGTCCGACAGCATCTTACAACAACCACACCAGCACAATTCTTCATCATGCTGCCACCTGTGGTGCTTCTAGCCGGTGGTGTGTTGCATGGTTGCATTTTGTGACCATATTTGTGATCACTCAGTATTATGATTTCTCTTGACTGCATTGGCAGTGAAAAGTAGAGCCGTGCCGTGCCCAGCTGTGCCGTCACCACCGACATCGCGCGCTTCCAAGCCTCCACGGTACGGGGCCTGTGGCTGCCGCATTCACAGTTGCTATATTACCACTTCCGCATCTATCGCTGTTGCACGGTTGTTGTTCTGCCGTGAAGAGGCACCACACTTGCAGGAAGCAGCTCCAGTGCCACATGTGACCAATGAACACAACGCGTCCCTGTGTTTCGTAGCGTTCAAGTCCTTGCACGCTCGGATTCATCCATTGTTGACCGGCCCATGTCAGGCCTCCAGGTAGCTCGGGCTACCCCAGCATGACGTCTGTAAGGCAGGGTTACATTGCACATAGTTTCAGGGCTTCCCGAAGGTTCGTCATGGAACGACTCGCAGCGTGGCTTCCTCAAAATGCAACCTTTCCACTCAGTGCCTGACTGTGGACATGAGCAGGGCCAGGACGTTGAACATGCTGCTATGCTATAGGTTGGCAGTAGGACAACTGTGGCAAAGCTTCACCGTGCCGGAGAACAGCCAAATTAAGGTGGAGCTGAATCTTCAGGCCTTAAACGGCCTTAAGCATTTATCCTGCGGCCCTGCTCCAGCAGATTCATCCAGACAGATTCAACAGGGTTGGGCTTCCATAGGTTCAAGGTTTTACATCCAAAGGACACCTAGCTGCAATATATATATATATATATGTACATATATGGACTCACGTAGCGGGTATAAAGAGTAAAGCACTTGTCTGCCGCAGCCACGTCAGCTTAAGGTTTGGCGTAGGTGGATGGGGGAGCAGCCGTGCCCACTGTGTGAAGGTCGGTACGGGACCTTCCGGTGGTGCACGGTGTGTAGCTCCTTGGAGCAGCTCCGGTTCGCTGTCCTCCGTGGTTTTGAGCGGGAGGACAGCGAGGAGCTTGGGAGAAGGATCAGGGACTTCTCCTCGACCCTCCTGTCTTGGGGCGCTCGGCTCCAGAGACAGCGGGAGGGTCGCACTCTCGCCCAGGTCAAGGCCGGTGCTGGACCTGTGGTGCCCGCGGGGCTAGGGGCTCTCAGGCCGGCTGAGCCCGCTGGCCCCCCTCCGACAGGAGGGGATCGGGAGGGAGCGCCCTCGGCGTCCTCTCCTGCCACTACCTCCAAGGCAGCCCCGGAGGTCCCAAGGGCTTCCCGCACGCCGGAGAGGCGGAGGAGGAAGGAAAGCAAGAGGAGCCGCAGCTCCAGGAGGAGGAGAAGCCCAGGAAGGGCTAGGCATCGCAGGAGGGAGGCTTCTGCGTCACCTGTGAGAGCGCCCGTGCCTCCCAGGGATCCCCCACCCCCGGCTCCTAGGGCCCTTTCCCCTGCGCAATTGCCTGTGGAGGTTCCGGAGTTGGCTGCCGGTAAGAGGGAGGCCTCCGAGGTGTCCCTCACTGAGTCGGAGGAGGAGGATAGCCCTGAGGCGGCCGCCTCTCTTGAGGATAGCCCGGAGGCGGTTGCCCCTCCTGTTCCTGAGGAGTCGGGAGTTGGCAGTGCCTGGGTTGGGCCCATTCGCGCAGTTAGGAGACCCCGGGCGGTGGTCCCTTGGAAAGGAGGGAAGAACAAAGGCAAGAAGAAGCGTGAGAGGCAGGCCCGATTTCGGGGCCGTTGAAGGAGGCTGGAGCAATGCCTCCTAAGGTTTTGAGGAGGCCCGCAGCAGGTTTGCCGCTGGTGAGGCGCCCTGCTGGGATTTTGAGGAGACCGGCTGCTGCTGTGATAGACCATGAGGGGAACCCTCCTAGGCGCCGTCGCCGTGTGGGAGGAGGAGATGAACTGGTGCTGGCCGAGCTCGATATGGTCAGCTTGGGAAAGTTGCAGAGGATCTGGCTGGATCCATGCGTTTACTGGATGGAAGAAACTTCGGTGGTGGGAGTTGTCAAGGGTGCCCGCATTGAGGGGTCCGAGGTTTATTTGGACCTCTTGGTGGAGGGGACCCGATCCGGAAGACTCTTGGAGTATGTCTCAGGCACTCCTGAAGGGCGCATCAAGCTGCATGTGTGCCCGCGGGAGTGCGAGCAGGAGCTCTGCGAGGATGGCCTGGTACATGGTCGTGTGTTTCGCGAAGTTCCGGGTGTGCCCTCTGAGGCGTGGATGTCAAATGCGTGCCGGGTGGAGCCCGATGAGAATCGTGCCCTTCGTGAAGAAGCTGAGAAGCTAAGAAATGCAGGAGTTGCGGGAGCTCTTGCCCTTGATGAGAACTCCTATGAGCCCGAGGCGGGGGACTTGGAGGCGGATCAGAAGAAGAGGAAGGAGGCAAAGGAGAAAAGAGGAAAGAAAAAGAGGACTAAGGTGGTGCTTGAAAGTAGGAAGGCGTTGAAGGATGTGGTGGGGTCCACGGGATTGGACCCGGACCCTGTGGTGAGGAAGATCGTGTTGAGGCGTGCATCCAGGACAGTGAGGAAGAAGAGGAAAAGGTCAGATGATAGCTCAGGGAGAGCCTCATCATCTTCGATGTCGGAGGAGGAGCCCGAGGAGCTGTTCGGATGCAGCACGAGGCCCGAAGAGGTGGGCCGCCGCTTCCCCGGCGTGTTGGCGGCTGAAGGAATCAGGGAGATGCGAGCCAGTCTCCTGAAGAACACGGGGCAGTTGTGGGATTTGGAGGATGGCCCGCTCCCTCCTCTGAGCACCATGTACTTCAGGCAGACCTTGATGTCGAGGATGGCACCTCCCATGGCTCGAGAGACGCACACCCTGTGCTACGGGCTGGACCTCCTGTTGCAAGGCCGGGCTGCAGAGCTAGGCGACCTTTTGGTGCAAAGGATCAAGAGCCTGGAAGGCGTTGCTGCTGGCCTTCATTACTCGGTGATGCAGAAGATGGAGCTCCTGCCCATGGATGCATCCCGTGTGGCGCGCTATACCGAGGTGCATGACGCGGCTAAGGTGGCACGAGATGAGGCCCGAGCTTTGTCTGCTGGCTCCCGGGCACAAGGGAGAGGAGGTTCAGATTCAGGTTGGGTGCCGTATGGGCCGCGAGGCAGAGATGAGAAAGGTGGCGGAAAAGGAAAAGGCGAGAAGGGGAAAGATAAGGGTCGTGCAAAAGATTGGCCCAAGAAGAAGGAGGAGAAGAAGTGATGAAGAGGAGGCATTCGGGAGAGGACTCCGAGGTGGAGTTTTCTCCTGGGGGAGCCGGGGAGGCGGTCGACCGTGAAGGTCCCCCTCCTGGGCGCCCTCTGGCCGTGCAAGAGCGGCTGAACGCTATCAAGCTGAGGCTCCCAGGGTTAACCTTAGGCGAGGCCGGTGGATGCTTGGTGGATTTGCTAGATCTGTTCAATGTTGGAATGTTGCACTGCAAGTCCCAGCCCATGGAAGGGAAATCCGTATTTCCTCTTCCCCTAGCAATCCTATCCGAGCTTTCACCCGCCAAGCATGCGCTGCTGTCCGCAGTGTGCCGGAGTCTCAACTCCCTTGCGGGATGCACAGACCCGCAAGGCCGGTCCTCGCACGCTGGACGCATGGCCGTGAAACAACTCGCGGCTGCCGTTGAGGTTTGTGAGAGTTGGAGTGAGGTTTTTCAAGATGTGAACTTCTCGGACTTCCTGAAAGTCAAAGGCATTGACTACAAGGGGGATGAGGTGAAACTTGCTGTCAACCTTAGTTGGGAGTGCCTTGCCCCTGCTCTCCCGGATGAAGTAGGGAAACTCAAGTTGGCTGAGCTTTGCACCCTTGGAACCCGCTTTTACGTGGACCATTTCGAGGACTTCTTGGTCCCTTCAAATGAGATGAGTCTAGGCAAGCCTCCCCGAGTTTTTGCCGATGCCAAAGAGTGGCCTTCTATTTGCCAAGGCTTGGTGGGTAAGGGGATCTGCGAGGTGGTGCCTTTGGATGAGCTGTTCCACATACAAGGTCAACCCCTCCTGAATGGCATGTTCGGAGTTGGAAAAGGCGAGTTCGTGAACGGGAAGGAGACACTCCGGTTGATCATGAACTTGATCCCTTTGAACAGAAACTGCCGAGGTATTTCCGGTGACGTTGGAACGTTGCCCCAAATTTCGGGGATGTCTGCCTTCGTGTTGGAGGGGTCTGAAGTGGCCCTCCTGTCGTCTGAAGACATCAGATGCTTTTTCTATCTCTTCCAGGTTCCCCCTGCGTGGAAAAGATTCCTGGGGTTTAACAAGCTTGTCCCCGAGGACCTCGTTCCCTCCTCCCTCACTGGGAGGAAGTGCGTCCTGGCCGCCAAGGTCCTCCCTATGGGGTTCCTTAACAGTGTTAGCATCGCCCAGCATGTGCACCGTAACGTGATTAGGAGCGTGGACCCCCTCCTTTTGACGGGAGATCAAGAGATCCGGAAAGACAAGAGTTTCCCCGTGAGCTCACACCTTTTTAGGATCTACCTCGACAACTTCGATTTCATCCAGAGAGTGGACTCCCAGTTGGCCGTCAGGCTGGAGGGGAGGGAGAGCCCGGAACAGAAGGCTGTCAGGAAGGCCTACGAGTCGGCCTGCCTGCCTCGGCATCCCAAGAAGAGTGTGGTTAGTGCTGAAAGGGCAGAGGTGCAAGGTGCGGTCGTCAGGGGCCACGAAGGGGTGGCTTATCCCCGCCCAGAAAAAGTACTGAAGTACATGGGGCTGGCGGTGGAGCTGATTGTGTGGGGCCGAGCTGGCCTCAAACATTTGCAAGTGGTCGCCGGAGGACTGGTATACATTGCTATGTTCAGGCGCCCGCTGTTCTGTGGCCTCAATTGCGTGTGGCGTCACATTGAGGTTCTAAAGCAGGGAGGTGGCAAGCCCTAGCTTCTACCTCCTGCCGTGGTGGCCGAGCTGGTACGGTTCTTGTGTTTGGTCCCTCTAGCACAACTGGACTTCCGGGGTGAGCTGGTAGGAGATGTCACTGCCAGTGATGCGTCCACCACTGGTGGAGGCATCTGCGTCACAAAAGGCCTCACGAGTTATGGGGTTCATGCCTCCCAGGCCAGTATCCGGGGGGAGTGGCCTGAACCCCATGACATGTGTCAGGTGTTGACGGTAGGCCTTTTTGATGGCCTTGGTGCCCTTCGCCTGGCCTGCGATGCGCTTGGCTTGCCTATGTGTGGGCACATTTCTGTTGAATCACATGCCCCGGCCCGCAGGGTTGTCGAAAGCTTCTTCCCAGGAACCGTGATGTGGGATGATGTACGCACCGTAACTGAGGAAGTCGTTCTGCAGTGGTCCACCCAGTTCTCCTCGGCAGGAGTAGTGCTCATAGGGGCCGGACCCCCTTGCCAGGGGGTCTCCGGGCTCAACGCTGACAAGAAGGGTGCTTTGAAAGATGCACGAAGCTGCCTCTTTGCGGAGGTGCCCCGGATTACCGCGTTGATCCGCAAATGTTTCCCATGGTGCCAGGTGAAGTTCCTCATGGAAAGTGTTGCATCCATGGATGACCGTGACAGGCATCACATGAGTGAGGCCATAGGTTTTGGGCCCTGGCATGTGGACAGTGGTCAGGTCAGTCCTTGCCGGCGTCCTAGGCTGTACTGGGTCGATTGGGAGCTGGGTGGTGGAGAAGGAGTTTTAAAGCCGCAACCGCCCGGGGCTCCTGGCAAAGATGTCGGCCTGGTGAGCTTAAGCGCTACTGTGGACTGGAAAGATTTTTTGAAGGGGGGTTGGAAGCCGCCTCCGAGTGGTGTGTTTCCCACCTTCACCACTAGCCGGCCTTCCCCCGCGCCTGGCCGCAAGCCTGCTGGGCTGGGAACATGCCAGCCACATGAGCGGTCCCGGTGGGAAGCTGACCGTCATCGATTCCCGCCGTACCAGTACAAGGACAAGTTCTGTGTGTGGAACAAGCAGGGCGACATGCGGCCTCCTGACATCGAAGAGCGGGAGGTGGCCATGGGGTTCCCGTTGGGATACACCAAGGCCTGCATGCCCAAGTCGCAACATGGCAACATCCAGTTCGAAGATTGCCGGCTTAGTCTAGTGGGCAATTCTTGGAACCTCTTCGTGATCACCTGGCTAGTATACTGGCTGTTCTTCCCGTTGGGACTGTGTGCACCGCGGTCTTTGCAGGACATCGTGAAGAGCCTCGCGCCCGGATGGTCTCCTACGTTCCAGGGAGTACTACTGCGGCCCCCTTTGAGGGCTGTCAGGGGCACCAAGGTTGACTCATCATTGAAGCTCGTGAAGAAGTTCCTGGGAGTCATTTCTATAAAAGGAGAGGATCTCCTTCTTCAGGCTTCTACCGATGTCCATGTCCGGTTCCACAGGTTGCGAGCATCTATCCCCAGCAATTGTGGCGGTGGAGAACTGTGGCCGGATGGACTTGGAAATCACATACGGACCACATCAACGTTTTGGAATTGCGCGCCATCCTGAGCACCGTCAAGTGGCGCCTCGAGCAACGTGGACAGATGCACAAGCGATGGATCCATCTCACTGACTCTCTGGTTTGCCTGCACAGCCTTTGTCGTGGCCGCACGTCGAGCCGCAAACTTCGTAGAACCCTCACCCGAATCAATTGCTTACTCCTCGCGACACGCTCCCAGCCCCTATGGGGGTATGTGCACACGCACCAGAATCCGGCCGACAGGCCAAGCAGGAGAGGTGTCCGTCGCAAATGGTTAAAGCAATGAAGCACGTTGAAGGGAGGTCGCAACGGGAGCGAGCGAAGATTCGGAAAGATTTGGGTTCACTCAAAAGTTTAACTGTGCAGCCAGCCACGCGTACCAGATATGAGAAAGCTCGGACGCGTTTTTTGAAACATTTGCGGGATGGAGGGATCGCAATCCCAAAGCAGAAACTTTTAATGGATGAGTTGGTCTCCGATTATATCGAGACTCTGTGGTCCCAGGGAGAAGGCAGGGCTTTGGCTTCAGATACCTTAGCCGGACTGCAAGATTTGGACCCCAGCCTCCGCCACCAAATGCCCCAAGCATGGCGCCTCATGAAGGCCTGGAACAGCAATGAGATACCAAACAGAGCTCCCCCGTTCCCGGAGAGCCTTTTAAAGGCCATGGTGGGCCGATGTTTGTTCCAGGAAAACCACGGAATGGCTCTTTCTCTGCTTGTCGGATTTTATGGCTTGCTACGCACTGGAGAGTTGCTTAGCATTCAGGCTCGTCACGTTTCCGTGAGTGCGGATCACAAAACCGCGGTTGTTTCGCTGGGGTGGACAAAGGGAGGCAAACGTCAGGGAGCTGCCGAAAGCTGCACAATCACCGTATGGGATGTGGTGCGGCGTCTTGAACAGTGGGTGCTTTCAGTGCCCAGCGGCTCCTATATGTGTGCCTCCCCGTCTACCTGGCGGAAGACTTTTAATCAGCTCCTGGCTGACATTCGAGTGACTGAGTTTGAGTTTCGGCCATATAGCCTGCGCAGGGGTGGCGCTACTTTTTGGTTCCAACGTCATGGCCAGTTTGACAGGTTGTTGGTCCAAGGCAGGTGGCAGGCAGCGAAGACTGCCCGCATTTACCTGAACGAAGGGCTGGCTATGTTAGCCGAGATGAGATTCTCTCAATCCCAACTGAGTGCTTGGGTTCGCTTATACCAAAACGCACTTAGAAGTGCGCTGCCGAGGCTCGAGCGAGCGTCGAGACGCAGTACAGGGGGACGTGGAAAGAGGTCGAAAAGAGGGAAAAAGGGGTGGTGGCTAGGCTGTTCCGGAGTTTCTTTTTCAGACGGCCTCAAAATTGCACCTGAGCGCCCTAGTTTCTTCCGGCTTGGCGGAAGAGCTAGGGGGGGTGCGGGGGGGGATTTCCTCTTTCTTCGGCTTGGCGGGAAAGGGAAATCCTGAGGCCCCCAGTTTGACAAGAAACGGGCAAGGGGCCCAGGGCTAGTTAGCCACCACAAAGAGGACGTAACTTTTTATTTATGACAAAGTTGGACTTGCTGTGCGCAGAAAAAGTGCGGCTTACTCTTTGGACTCACGTAGCGGGTATAAAGAGTAAAGCACTTGTCTGCCGCAGCCACGTCAGCTTAAGGTCCCGCCCACCCTTCCCCGAAAAGAGGGAAAAAGGGGTGGTGGCTAGGCTGTTCCGGAGTTTCTTTTTCAGACGGCCTCAAAATTGCACCTGAGCGCCCTAGTTTCTTCCGGCTTGGCGGAAGAGCTAGGGGGGGTGCGGGGGGGGATTTCCTCTTTCTTCGGCTTGGCGGGAAAGGGAAATCCTGAGGCCCCCAGTTTGACAAGAAACGGGCAAGGGGCCCAGGGCTAGTTAGCCACCACAAAGAGGACGTAACTTTTTATTTATGACAAAGTTGGACTTGCTGTGCGCAGAAAAAGTGCGGCTTACTCTTTATATATATATAAACAGTATTGGCTAGGTTGGTTATGGGCGATCTCTCGCGGGCGCTTCAATGTTCATGCTTGACGCAGTGAATCGCAGGTCTGGTGGATATCCTGACCCTGGGGTGCGACGCTCGGGTGGCGCGCTTCGGCGCCATTTGAACTAAACGGCAGGTGGCTGAGCGATCTCCAAAACGGGGATCCGCTACTTCGGTGCAGGGCTCGGATCTTGCCGTCTCTTGCCACTTCAAGGGAGAGAGTTCAAAAAGCACCGAAATGCTGCAGCATTCTAAATGCATATAAATTGTAGAAACACTTACACACTCATGATATGTCTCAATATAATGCTGATGCAGGCATCTCCTCGGCAACAGTTGGCAGATGGATCTCCGAGGCGAAAGGTGGCTGGGCCTAGCCAGTAGCCAGGAATACCTGTTCCCTGAGGCTCAGAGGCCACACAAGGAATTGGGCCAAAGTAAATGAACATGGAGGGAGGACAGCTGCTTTTGATGTGAGCAGAGAATCATAGCTAACAATACCTTTCCCTCTTTATACCTGTCAATGCTGAGATGCTCGTGCATTGTCGTGAGGCTTCTCAGTCACCATCGCCAGGGTCCAGACCTTCATCTCGTGCATGGCTAAGTGAGATGAGCACAACCGTCTCTTGACACATGCTTTGTTTTTTATGCGGTATGCCCAATTTGAAGACTTTGGAGCAAGCTTGAAGCTTGGAGCTTCCAAGTCCACGGCAGCTGAGGTGACAAGTTTCCTCTAGACATACCTTTGGCTCATGCTCCTTGTGAGGCTGGAATGGCAGCGTACGGAAGAGGGATGAAAGCTTGAATCAAAGCCTGGGTCATACCCACGGCCCTCCGTTATGGTCCCCATCATCCTGGTGGGTGCTTCACAACTTCGGTGCTGTCCAGGTGGTGCTTTCCAAGCTGCAGTCACTATCTGCCTCCAAAGTCATGGTCTCAGACCTTTGTTTCCTTGTCCTTTCCAGTTTCCTGCGTGTTGCTTTGAGGACAAGAGGCCGCAAGCTGAGTTTGGAGAGCTGTGTGAGCGCGTTTCGACGCTCGCCACAGAGATGAAGGCCAGTTGCGGCGCGCAAGACTGTATGTGGGAGCATGAGCTGCTTGACGCGGTCTTGGAAAGATGGCAACCGAACTCTGTTTGGGAGGCAGGCAAGAGCCTAGACCTGGCCTTTGCTCCGCAAATGCTGCGGGAGGCCAGACATATTTATGGTCATAACTTACGTCGACTTCGGCGTCATTTGACATTCCGTTAGCTAAAATCCCATTTCACGTGTCAATGAACGGTACGCGGCAATGCGTATGATTCATGCAGGTGATGGGCCTCATGGATGCGAAAGACTTGAAGGCGCCTTCCTTCGTTGGCGATTTGCTTAAGGTGCCATTTGAACTGAGGATTCAAAGTACGTCTTCAAGTTGGCCAGATGTGCACTGTCCTTGCTTTCACTAGAGGCCGGAGCACAGTATGCAATAGTTTGCACTCGGTGTGTGTCTCGTGGTGCGAGTTGATCCCACACATTTGTAAAGAGCCGGCTGTGATCAGGCTGCGACCAAAGGAGTCCCAATCTCCGGCGTGCAAGCTGCATATCAGAACATAGCACAGGCAGGGTGCTCGGAGACACAAGTGTCCCCAAAACCATGCAAGCAGAGGAAACTAGGCCACGACAGCAAGAAGAGATGGGAGAGACGCATGCAAGGTCTTGTTCAAGTTCTCGCAGAAGGCCTTGCACTTTGCACTTGTCAAGTACTGTATTATGGCACGCCTGCTGAGGAAGGCAACGATGCGCACTTCTTGTCAGAGAAACTGATAGAGCCGCTCATTGAGGCACAGTATCCATAGATCAATCCTCACATGTTGTGGTGCATGCTGGTGCCGCCAAGCCTGCAGGTGCTCGAGTCAAATCCTGACCCTTGTGCCTCAACAGATCTCAAAGCCCATGTCTCAGTAAACGAACGGGCACCTGGAACTGGAATGTATGGCAGTGGTTTGAAGCGCCCATGCTTAGACGAGGTCTACATTGTGGGCATTTTGAAGAATGTGTCCAATGATACAGCAAACCAGAAGCACCAGTCGCATGTTTATATGCCCAATTATATGCTTTTGTGTGGTTTTCGAGCCAGGTTCCTGGCCCAACGTGGAGCTGTAACATCGCTTTTTAAGCTCATGGATCCCAAAGTGTTGACCGCCGGAACCTCAACCCGGGTCCAGTCGCTGCGAAGCAATGCTTGGCAGCATTGTTGGCAGTACAGCTCCATTGTTCTACTCACCACTTCCAGTTGCCAGATTGTGCTGAGGGGCAGCGCGTTCTCGTGTAAGACACAGCGTTGAACATTGATTGTGTACTTCCCAGGGCAACCCGAAGGAGGCTGCTTTGCTCATCCAGGTCACGGCTGCACTCAGGACCCGAATCCGAAACTGAGCTTGAAGATTGAGCTGTCGAGCTAGGAACTTGGCCAGCCATCAGTACAAGCAGTTTTTGACGGAGGATCGACTCAATGCTTTGACGAGGCCGTGGACTCATTCTGGGAGTGGATGTCGAGCAAATGGGTGAACGACGAGTTTGGCCGTGTTGGTGTGATGCCTTGAGAAGTCGATCCCCAGTAAGCTTCTCTCAAGGTTGATGGCCTTGTATCCCGGTCATGTCGAGGCCAAGGGGTGCAGATGTGCATACATTTACTCGCAATCAGACATGAATCTAGCAGATCAAATTAGCTGACAAAGGTTGACTTGGAGTTGAGATTGAGATACTATGCAATGCCTTGGTTGTGAAGCCTGCACGGAGTGCGCTCACTGTCCAGCTACTCACGAACATCGCGCGGACGTTGGCAAAGCTGACGCTGCATGGCTCTGCGGTGGAGGCTGGTTTCAATCCCGAGGTGCACACATGCATCACATGCATCACGGTTCGGAACCTTGCCACGGCTTCGGAACCTCAAGGAAATGACATGGCAGCAGCGAAACACGTTCTATGTCATTCTATGCACTCACTCCCACGCTGCAAACGATGCGACGGCATCATTGAGGGGTCTGACTCGAATCGAAAGAGGGTCAAGTTCGGAGGAAAGCAGCACGGGGAGCTTTGACTGGCAATGAAGGTCACGTCTCTTTTAGCATTCGGGTTGGATATGGATTGCTGGTCTAGATCGCATCCCAAGCAGAAATAGAGATGCGGCACAAGTTCCTGGCAAGTTTATGAACATAGGAGCAATACTCAACATGCTTTGCCATGCTCCAAGTTGTAGCTTAGTCTCTCACACCATGAGCCTGTGGCTTTTGAGCTATGGATTGTTGGCACAGCGGCCGCCGGCTGAGAATCCCACTATACTGCGCGGCGCACTCGTAGCATGTAGCAGAAAGGTCGCTGCTGGCATTTGCTGGTTCTGTGCCGCAGGCCAGGAATCGCACTTGAACTGCTATGACATTATGAATGTCATACTTGCAGACTCTTTAGAAGGAGCCGGTTTTTGTAGTTCGGCTGCAAGTTTCAAACAAGACACAATCCCACTACATATTCGTTACTCCCTGTCCATGCCAAACAATGTTGGCAGTCTTGTTTGTCTGGTGACAACGGTACTTCAAACCATCCGCGATTTTCCGGCAGAGTGGGAGGCCTTTGGCTGATATCAAACATTCTGATCGGTCTATTGCACAGCTGAAGGGCCTTGGACCTCAACAGCTTTGGCCCACGCCGGTGCCTGGCTCAGCTAGGGCAAGCTGCAGCGCAGTGCTGCTGCGTTGCCGGGTTTTCTCATGGCAAATCCAAACAATGGGATCGCAGCTGACTTCGGTGAAATGCTGTGCTGGAGTGAAGGCCAGCTGTTGATTTGCCTGGCTTCACCACAGCCAGTGGCTGTAAGGCTCTACTTGTGTTGCCGCCAAAGCTGGAAGCTGGTAAGGTTTCAAGGCAGGCACTTGACATTTATTGGACATGGCCTGGTCATGTTCCGAAGCCTTTTCACACCTTTGCACCTGGAGGTGGCACGTGGTACTGGCTGGTCACATTCGCCATCTTGCCAGGCGCTGTGCCGTCCCTGACAAGGTCAGCCTAAGATACACTGGATGAGTTTACCATGCCGAGACACCCGTGACCCTGCAAAGCATGTGGCGACCTTGGCCTACTGAGAATTCCAGGCACGCCCCCCTCGAGAGCTGGCGCTCTGAAGGAGAGGGAAGGGTGAGTGCAAAAGCAGAAGCCCAGAGACCATTTGGTTGTGGGGATTGACGGATTGGCCGGTGGCAGGGCTAACGTTCATCGGCTTTGCCAGGGGAGGACTTCCTCCAACAGTGTGCTGCTGCTGGAGGGGAAGTGGCCGTGGCTGCTAGCAAGCTGAAATCTTTGTTGGAGGCCGTTCGGATTTGTTTGTATTCGAAATGTGGACAATCTGCAAGCAAGTGCGTAAGTGCGTGAGGGTCTATGCCTGCGAGGAGGCTGCGCTGCAGTGTCGCGCTTAGATTTGCAATTGGAGTGCCTCCAGGGTGCCAAGACAAGGTACCTGCAGACCGCTTTGGATGAACGTTCACCGCAACTGCTGTCGAGGCCTGGTTGACTTATTTCTGGGCCTCAATAGCATTCACTGAGTTTCTTTAGTCTTTTCCAGTGCTTTATGTGCCCAAGCTCAGCCCAAATGCCTTTTTGTGATCAGGGGGCTTTGCAAATTGAGTGAGTCTGGCATGGACCTCCTGTGTGTAGCAGCATGCTACTCTCCTTACCTTGCTCGGTAAAGCCAAGACTTCAGCCGGCGAGGCTGCACACCAGCATTGCAGCCAGTTGGGCGAGAAGCGGACCAAGGTCATGGCTGGTGCCAGTCTTTATCACGTTTGCATGTCATGGGGGATGGGAGTGCCTCAAGCATTCTCATATGTACTCGCGCTCTTTTTCGCACCTAGGTGCCTCATGTGCATGCCAAAGTCGCTCTGGCTGGCTCCTTCTATCTAGACTGCGGAGGACCCTTGCAGGCGCTTAGACTGCAACGGGGTGCAGACGCAGATGGAACAGTGTCCCGGCCAATGTCCAATTTGAAGACAGGCTGCCAGAATGGCTAAACAAGACGAGCAATGTGGTATTTTGCACTTCACTGCTTTGTTGGGGCCTTCAGCTTTCCATGCGCTTGTGACTAGATTGCAGCTGGTTGGGCTCAGCTCATCCTACTTTATGAGTTGCTTAAACATATTGAGCCGGGGAGCAGATCCTCAGGAAGACGACCCCGCTGAGTTGTGCGGTGTCTACTTGCAGGCCAGGGTGCTCAGAGTGCCACATGCCGTCGGTTTTGGAGCAACTCCGTGGCAGGACCCTCGAACGCCAGCAGGTATGGCTGAAGTACTTGAGCCAGAGGCTGAGGACAGAATACGACGAAACAAGGGACTCAGCTTGCATTTGCTTGCCAAGCGGACTTGTGCCGACTTGTGTCATTTGGGCCTGTACTGCTCCGCACCTGCGTCGTGTTGCAATGGGGGTGAGATTTGGATGCTTAGGTCCCTGCGACAAAAGCTTGGATGGGGGGAGGTGGATCGGGAGTGAAGCGTTGAGTTCGCAGATAGTCTTGCAAACTGCGGTTTGCGCAGATGGTTGCGGCCTCTGGCCTGTGCCCCTGTCTAGCCACGTGCCGCAACTCAATCAGTCAACCAGTCCCTTCGCAGGCACATCACGTCCGAGTCCGGTCTGGCAGCTTGCTGCTGTATCCAGCATGGCTGCGGCCCAAGCTCCAAGACCCATGCCACGGCGTGCAAGCTTGCTTCGCAATGGACGCACATTTCTGGAAGCCATTGCAATGGTTGTGGCATTCAGCTGATGCAGCCAAGCCGAGTTCCACGGCTACTCTACGCATGCAAGACTTGGGCTGCCAGGCTCCAGCATGCTGGACTTCCTCCAAGTCTAAATTCCTCGAGCAAGGAGGACGCTTCTTGTACTATTTGGTCAAGGCCCCTGCCTCCTTGCAGCTGCAATTAGGAAGCAGTGAGCTCCGTCTCCTTTACTGTGGCCGCTTTCTCAGCCTTGCCATGTGGGTCTGCGTCATGCGCATACATTCCGAGAGAGGAACGCCTGCACGAGGAACGCGTAAAAGTTGGATTGTGGTGCCAGGTTGTGCAGCTCCGAGAGAGTGCCGAACGCCGCCTGCACCCAACTATTGGGGGACTGGGATGTTCCGTTTGGAACAACTGATCAATGCACAATTTTCTACGCATGGCGTGTAGAAACAGACTCACTTGGTCTTAGTTTAAGTGCTGTCTTAGCATCGGTTCAGTAATTTTGTTGGTTTAGTATTAGAATAGTATTGGTTCAGTATTTCAGTATTGGTTACAGTTCCTTGGCATTGACAAACCGTGGACGCACAAAATCCTGCACCAGCAGTTTGGCTTGGCATTTATTTTAGAGCCTCCTGTTCATTCCGCCGACTTCTGCTACGGTGCCTGAATGAGTGGGGACATGTCCATCATTGAAATATTTTCGATTTTGATGACTGGTATTTGTTTGATTTGGATTGGTATATGTTTTGAGGACTCTGATGGTTGGGAGTGGAGTGGGGAGTGTGCAGTGTGTTGTGTGGTGTGTCGTGTGTCGTTTGTCGTGTGTAGTGTAGTGTGATGTGTGTTGTGTGTTGTGTGTTGTGTGTTGTGTGTTGTGTGTGTGGTGTGTGGTGTGGGGTGTGTGGTGTGTGGCGTGTGTGTGTGTGTGTGTGTGTGTGTGTGTGTGTGTGTGTGTGTGTGTGCGTGTGCGTGTGCGTGTGCGTGTGCGTGTGCGTGTGCGTGTGCGCGCGTGTGTGCGTGTGTGCGTGTGTGCGTGTGCGCCACGCGCACGCGCACACGTGCGTTTGCCTGTGCATGCGTGCGCGTGCGCGTGTGCGTGCGTGTGCGTGTGCGTGCGTGTTCGTGTGAGCGCGTGTGCGTGCGTGCGTGTGCGCGCGTGCGTGCGTGCGCGCACGTGTGTGTGTGCGTGTGTGCGCGTGTGTGTGTGCGCGCGCGTGTGCGTGTGTGTGTGTGTGTGTGTGTGTGTGTGTGTGTGTGTGTGTGTGTGTGTGTGTGTGTGTGTGTGTGCGTGTGCGCGTGCGTGTGCGTGTGCGTGTGTGCGCGTGCGCGTGCGCGTGTGCGTGCGTGTGCGTGTGCGTGTTCGTGTGCGTGTGCTTGCGTGCGTGTGCGCGCGTGCGTGCGAGCGCGCACGTGTGTGTGTGTGTGCGCATGTGTGTGTGTGTGTGCATATGAGCGTGCGTGCGTGCATGTGTGCGTGCGTGCATGTGTGCGTGCGTGCATGTGTGCGTGCCTGCATGTGTGCGTGCGTGCATGTGTGCGTGCGTGCATGTGTGTGTGTGTGTGCTTGCGTGTGCGTGTGCGTGCGTGTGGGTGTGTGTGTGTGTGTTTTTGTGTTTTGGTGTTTGTGTTTTGGTGTTTGTGTTGGTGTTTGTGTGTGTGTGTGTGTCTGTGTGTCTGTGTGGAGTGTGGAGTGTGGAGTGTGGAGTGTGGAGTGTGGAGTGTGGAGCGTGTTTGGTCTGTGTGTGTGTGGAGTGCTGGAGTGTGGTGTGGAGTGCGGAGACCCAAAGTCCATCCAATTCCCAAAGAGAACTCATACAACCCGCGCGAAACCCACAGACAACACCCAGCCAACATCCACACACACACACAAGACCCCACAAAGCCCACCCAACAAAACCCTCCCAAAACCCACATAAACCCACACAAAATCCTCCTACAACGCACGCCAAAACCCATTAAAACCCACACAAAACAGCTCCAACACGCACGAGCAGACAACACGCACAGAAACCCACAAACACAAACCCACCAAACAACTCACACGCAACAGCACCCATTCCTGCACCGAAACTCCCACGCGGCACTGGCCCGGGCGACCCAGGGAGGATTTGAGCCCACCACCCTCCGCCAGCCTACAAGGGCCTGCTCCGGTAAGTAAAAATGAGTGACCATCACAAAATCGCCGCACCGTACACGCCGTCGCCCACGCCGAAGAAGTCGGCGAATTTGGTAGATGCATGTCTTGCCTACATTCTTTGATACTTTCTGAGCATGGTCGGGCCGGGAAGCTGAATGGTTTTCTGAATAACATCGCTATTTCTGCACTGTTTGATTCAGCCATTTGATTTGGGGCTTTCCTTGCCAACCTAGAAAGTCTACGCTTGCACACACAATTCAATAGTGGCTTGGAGTCAACCTGCGAGAAACTTGATGGCCCTGCAAGTCTTATCATCCAACTTCCTATGGCCGCCCTTTATTTTTCCTTTGCAAGCATGGGCCAAGCTTGTACCAGCTGGACTCTTTTGGTTTGCTCTCTGACGTGCTGTGTTTTCTCAGTGATTGAGTCGGTGCCGAAATATGTTTTTCTACCTCAAGAGGTACGATGGGTGCATGTTCATCGCTTGTAATTTTCAAGCATTTGAGATGCTGCTGTGCAAACTAAAAGCGCGCTGCGTTTGGGAATAGCGTTTCGTTCCTAAGCTCCAAGGAGCATTCCGGGCTTCGGAGTTGCTCAACTGCAAGGGCCAAGCTTCATGGAAATCGGATGATGTTACATATCTTCAACAGATCAAATAGTCCAACCTGTGGAGCCTCGCACTGCAAAATGTTAACCATTGGGGAGCATCATAGCTCGCTTGAAGCAGGTTCGCTTCCCGGGCGTGACCCTGCAAAACTCCTGTGAAATTTCTGTGAGACATCGAAAGTTCAAGGAAATTCCATCAAAGTTCCCCCTACGTTCCTTTATCAAAAGTCAGCCTTTCAGACAAATTCCCTGGACCACAAACCCCTGCAGCAGCTCAATCTGCCATTCAATCTGCTCGTCAATCTGTAGGTATGTATGTATGTATGTATGTATGTATGTATGTATGTATGTATGTATGTATGTATGTATGTATGTATGTATGTATGTATGAACTCTTCTCCTGAGTGTCATTGGATTTTCACTGGAATGTGATTGGAGTTTAGTTACCCTTTCCGACCCTTTCCAATGAAATTCCATTTAAATTCCAATTCAGGAGGACAGTGAAGGTACATGCCGATTGCCAGCGCATGCTAATTGCAGCCAAGCTTTAAGAATGACTTGCTCCGGTCTCTATGAGTTCATGGCGTGCTGCACGTGCGATAGGCAACCGGCACTACTGCTGTGCTCAGCATTCACAGCAAACTAGGTGGCCGCGCCGCCGGCGGGTACAAGCTACTCAAACATGCACACGTCAGCAGTTCAGAGCATTTTTGGCCAAGCGCTGGTCCCTGCTGCGCCACGAAGGTCGGCTGAAGCAGCTTCGGTGGGAGGCAGACACTGTGCTTCGAAGAGACCCAGCCTTTCAGCTGGCGGCCTCGTTCAGCGCAATTCCTGGTCCAATTGAACAACCGCGTGCTCGAGTAGTTGTAGCATCCTTATTCGCAGGCGGTGAGTTTGCCAGAGCGATGCGACCAGCTCGAGAGAACCACGAGCGCTGGTGTGCCCTTCATGGCTATACCTATGCTTGCCTTGAGGAAAATATTGCAGGCAGACCAGATCCCACGTGGTCTAAGATTCCACATGTGCTCAATCTCTTGAGAAACGGAGCCGAGTATGTATTTTGGATGGATGCAGACTCGCTCTTCATATCTGATGGGACAGACCTGCAGTGGGCCTGCAACTTGAACAAAGACTTTGTATTCGCGGGGGATTTGAATGTTGTCTTCAACGCCGGCCACTTCTTGGCCCGTGGTCCCTGGGCAGAGCGCTTCCTCAGCAATGCCTTCCGTATCTACCCCTGGCCCGACTGGGAGGACAATGGGGCCATGATGATCCTTTTAGGCGGAGGCTCAGCAGATGACCCCGACTCCTGGCGACGAAGTTTTGAGCGAATGAAGGCGGGTCTAGGACAGACTCCACGTATTTAACAATGATAACCGAACCACATAATTAGCAGCTGTTCTTTCTGACGCAGTTGCCTGATAGTTCCGTCGAGAGTCATTGATCCTTGCCCCAGGTACCAACTCGGACTGCTGAGGAGTGCCATATTGCAATGACCAAGCTACTTCCCTCAGCCGTTGCGGAGCATGTGCAAGTGGTGCCGCAGCACCTCATCAACGCCTATGAGTGGCCGCAGCAAGGTGCCAAGCTGGCACTGCTCCGAGGAGATCCTATTTTGCACCTGGCGGGCTGTTCATCTCAAGAGAAGCCCAAGCTGATCGCAAAGTTTGCATCCTGCACTGGAGACCCCATGTCTCTGATTGATGCTGGATCTTGATCTCAGCATTTGCCGAAAACACCGGCAACAGGTGGACAATGTCAGAGGTGACAAAGTGTGCCAGTTACCTCGTGGCCAGAAGGGCAGAATGGAAAAGAGAGATTGCACACAACATGCGTGATAGATGGTATGCGTTGTCGTCATCAGTCTGATGCAGTACAGTCATCAGTCTGACTGGCCATGGTTTTTCGAAAGTTGTTTGCTCCCGTACAGTAACCCTCCGAAGTACATTCATCTCTTTGCAAACTAAGGATCGCCGGGTCAGCGCAGCACCAGCCACCAGCAAGAGTTGTGAGGAAAATCGCTTGGGTGCCCGCAGCCTTGCGCATGCTGCGCCAATGTTTGTTTTCTTACGTTCCTACCACTGAATGGAGGCGATAGCGAAATCAGATGCTCACCTGCGGCAGATCTCTCAGACTCTCAGGCGGCACTCTGGGTTCTTGTCACAACCTGACTCCTCACGACTGTCAGCCTTCAACCACCTCTGCTTGTGGCACCACGTAGGGCTCATGCATTGAGAAGCGGATCGGGCAGTCTACTAGGAATTGAAGCTAGCAGGTTTGCTTTGGTCATTCTAACACAGGGTATTCCCAGGGTATTCCGATATTCCAGCTGTTTCATTTTGCGTATTCTGAGCATTCCAGCCGTCTCGCCAGCAGCAACTTGGACTCTGCGGCACTCACGCTGCGGCTCTCCTTCGTGCTGGGGCTCGGGTTCTCAGAGGTCCGTCTGTTTCTGCAAAGCATGACATGCCTTGTTGCGATTTAGGACGTGCAGTTCTTCTTCTTTTTCCGCGTTCGTAAATAACTTATGGCTGCTTGTTAAGACTATGGTTGAGCAGAGCAAAAGCGCGCACGCCATACAAAGACGCGAGACAGTTGCCAGCAGATCAGTGAGATTTGCACACGACTCTCTGGAGAGATGCACACAGAACAGTGATGCAAGCATTCCTCCCTGATTCGCCGTTTGAGTTCCTGGAATCCGAGGCAGCGGAAACTAGACTGATCTCCATACTCCGTTTCCGCTCCTTGTGGACCAAACCGAACGAAAGGGCGGTTCTTTGTGCCTCAGCCATGGCAACCAGCATCACTAGCATTACTAGCATCAGTACATGAGCAGCATCATCAGCACCATACTGGCTCCTAGCCAGTAGCGAAGTTCAGGTTGCCCAGCTGCTTTGGTGTCGGACGTGGAGCAAGTATCGGTTTCCTTTGGCCAGAAGGCATGAAACTGGAAGGAAACCAAAGCTTTAGCTCAAGAAGGTCAATGTTTTTGTTTGTTGCACCTTTTTGCACGTGGCCACAGGAACCTGACGGAACGAAGCGACCGGCTTCGGATTGTCTTCGCCTTCGATTGCGAGGCTGGGAGCTTTGACGTGAAGTTTAGGGCTTCCACATCATGAAAGGGTGCAATGGCGTCCAGGGTGAAGCATTCTCCAGAGAGGCCCCGCTGATTCCATGCTGAACAGAGTTTTGCAGGGCACTGCGCTGGTCCCCCAGCTGCTGGGCAAGTACCGGCAGAAGGACCCTGGGCCTCGGCTACGTTGCCAAGAATTCCTTTAGCGCACGAAGGCGCTTGATTATCTTGCATGAAACGAAGCTCGTGGGCAAAACAGTTGGTGAGGCAAACATGTTTGCGAAGGCTCACAGCTACATGTGAATTTCCATTCCAAAGTGATGAAGGGTTATTGTCGAGATTGCTGAATCAATCGAGTTGAGGGATGCTAAAAGTGCTGGTTGCTGCAACTGTGGTGTCAACTTCAACATTGTGAACACAGCAGCACAGCAGTGAAGCATAGGTTGCGCCACAGGCTGAGCAGAACACAGGAGTATCTCTTTGCGGCTTGAGTCAAGGACCGCCAACTTGCTCGACGAGAGCTGGAACGGCAGAGCAAGGCATGTTGACAGAACGCACTTTGCAGATGTAACGGTTGTGAGCGGTTCTCAGCAGTTCTTGCTGCTGCATCGCAACAATGACAGCTTTGTGAACAGCATCAGTTGATGTACTTTATCCATCAGTTTGAACAGCTCATACTTGTTACCCACCACTTTTTGGCAAACATGTTAAAAGCAATGCTTCCTCAGTGGTCGGACCTCATGAACTTCATGGTCTTTGAGCAGCACAACATAATCTGCATTGGGCATTGACATGCATTGCTTTGAGCGTGCTGCCATGGCTGCGTCTACATGACTGGAACCTGCGGACGTCACGGTGTGGGGCAATACACTTCAGGCTCACATTTGCACTTAGACAACCTCGTGCAAGCTTGAAAATTGAACTAATTAGTTGCCAGAATCCTACTCCATTCAAACTGGGCGGACATCAGGTGTTATTTGCATCTGCTTCGTCGCTGTGGTGGGATTCTCAGCTGACTGCCTTGCATATGTCAGCATCAAGCGTGGCAGGGGAGTGTGGCAATGGATATTAGCACCGGGACTGGCAGCCTCCCATCCTGAAACCACCCAGATCTCAAGTTTGGGTAAGTCGACATTGTGCACGCAAATTCAGGGAACCGCCACCGAAACTCGCCCTGTTGCAACAGGTGTGGACTTTTGCAACGGTCCTGAAGCAGGCGTTTCGCGTTTCGCGTTTCGCGTTTCGCGTTTCCGCGTTTCCGCGTTTCGCGTTTCGCCTCGTAGGCCTGGGTACTGCCCAAGCGTTTGTCCTGTGTTTGTCCTGCGCAGGTGATTTTCAATGACCTCAACTACAATGCTCCTCTGATTCTCACGTACGTGCAGCTGGCCAGTTGCAGGGTTTTGCTGGTTTCACTGCATGTGTGAAGGCCCTCTGCTCGAAGGTTTGCAATGGCTGTTACGCAGTGCACTTCCCTTTGCATGGCCTGCTACGATGCTCTGCTTTGACAGCCGGGTACCCAGCGGAAGTTTGCATTGTCTTTCGGAAGGAATAGAGCCTAGGGTGACGAGCCACAAAGGTACGCACACAGACCGAGCCAGACAAGGTTTGGCTACTCGTGCGCAGGAGCCAATCCCCTGGAGAAGGAGTGAGGAGAAGCAGGGCGAGGCAGACTGTTGGATGCACCCATGGCCCATGGCAAGTGCTGTAGGCGGATCCATCACCAGGTCAGAGAAGCGATCGTCGCCGGCTTGGTGATTGCACCGCCTGCAGCCTAGATGGACTAGCTTCAACCAGGATCGGAATGTGGTCTGCCTTAACTCGCCTGCAGCCGATTGCATACACAGTGACGAAGCAAGCTTGACGGGGATTGGAATAGCTGTTAAGAGACAAACAGTGCACCTTCGCTGAGCGTCACTGGTAGCGCTGTTCCGGCCTGGAAAATTAGCACGCTTGATTGCAGCCAAACAGCCAGCAGGTATGATCTGTAAGGATTCCCATTCTTTGCCTGGCCTAATTTCCAAAAGTCTTGCCTGTCAGTCACCTGCGTGATCAAGACATACTTGTGCTGCGCCCTATTGTGATGCCACAAGCTTGAGTCTGAGAAGTTTCTGAGAAAGAGAGTTACCTTTCAGGATTTGGTTCCTCGCGCAGTGGACGTATTCTGCAGGCTAGGCGGGCTGCTTGACAGTTCATTGCAGATTCTAAATGTGACCATTTCATGATTTGGTCGTGGCAGCGATTGAAGTTCCTAGGGCTGGTTCGTGTGTCAACCCTCTGGCACACTGATGGCTTGCAACTCTTTTTCTTTAGACAGCGCTGATTGCAAACGCTGCGCATTGTCCGCCCTCGGCCCAGCCCAGCATGCAGCGTTTCCGGCTCGAAAGCAAGCAGCAGAGCTGCTCAAGTGGCGATTCATAGGTGTGAGTCATGGAGCCAAGTGACGCAGTGGCGCTGCGTGCCTTGCTTTAGTTTTCTACCACCACGAACCACGGCAACAACAAGAAGGACAACAAAGGTTGTGGAAGCAACTTCTGTGATGCAACATGCTGGGCGATCATGTCCATGCCCTGACGGCCCAAGCACTGGACTTGGCTGGAGATTGGGCTAGGCCAACCAGCAGCTTGAAGCTGGCTGTTTTCGGCTGGGCTAGACGGGCTTGGGCTGGTTGGAGTGGGCAAGACGGCCCAGTCGGGCTGGCCAGTAGATACGAGAAAAAGGCAATTTGGAAGCGCCTCAAGGCCCCACACATTCGGACTGTTCTTTTTGACCTGAGGTGCACGTGTCAATCAGTTGCGCGTCAAGCGAAGGTGTTGCGAGAATCAAGGCCCTTGACATTGTCCAATGCCAGCCCTCGGCGTGGCAGGCGTTGCTTCCACCTCGGTCACGGCCTCGACAGTCATCTCGACCACTTCAGTTGCCATGGCCTTGGAGCTCACGGGTTTGGATTGGTCGGAGTCGTTTCTGGCTCTTCGGCCACAATCGTGGCCAGATCTATGCTGACTTGTGACCGTAGAAGAGGTTGATTGCACTGGTTGGTGTCCAGCAAGCACATCTTCAACGGCAATGTCTCGCACGCATGCCAGCCTCGCAAGCCATCCCAATGGCCTCAGTTTGATTTGAACATTCCAAACAGGCGCACACCTGCTAGGTGTGGACACTCATTGGCAGTGTCATTTTCCTCAAGGACCGGTGGACCGGTGGAACCTTTTGCAGCCAGTTTGCTCAGTAATGATGCTGAACGTTTTGCGCAGGAAAAACTGACAGGGATGAAAGTTTTCGGCATCCTGTGCTGCATGGCTGGAAATGCTTGGGCCTTAGAATGCCTCCCTTATGCCACCAAGGTCAGATGCACCGGGATTTCATGCCTTTCGTTTTGACGGGTTTTCTTAGCTTGTGAGCGTACTTGCAGCAAATCCCCTGATTCCTCCTCCCCTAGGCCGCTTGAGTTTGCAGTGCTTGCATCTTTGCATGCGCAACTCAAGTCAGTTGCCCTTGTCACCATGTTTCCACCACAGGCTACATTCCTAAAGAGTAAGAGCAATGATTAGGCGGCTACTTTGCTGGGCAGCAGTTCTGGAACAGATCACAAAGGTGCGGAGATTTTTAGCACGACTTCTTGTGCTTCAGCATGTGCCGGAGGAGCATTCTCCGGTGATCTCTTGTGCGTTCTTGCAGCGATGCTCTACGCCACCTACACAACTGCCGCATTCTCAGCTGAAAACGCTTGCCTTGAACAAGCTAACCCGAGGTGTTAAGCCGCCTGGTGGGTGAGGACTTCTCCGTGGCACTCTTGTTCGGAGTTATAGGCGTCGTCTGCGCCTTAATGGACCCAAAAGCCTGTTATCCAACTCGCCCCTTGCGTAGCACTGATGTCCCTCTTCAGAATGCTTAGCTGTGCGCATCTTCTTGTCTTTTGCTTGTAGGAATACATGGCTGTTTGATTGCCAAGCTGACCAAGGCCATTCTTGTCTTTGGCGCACCCTTGCTATTCTTTGTACAAGATGATTTAGGCAGAATGACGCCAGAGGCAGGGTGGGGTAGCATGCCAGCACAGGAAAGCAACCAATAGAAACAAAAGCGGAGCAATGTCATAAGATGCCCAAGCATGGCTGTCAACGTTCTCAATGGCTTTGGTTGGCTGGCAAGGCATTTGCTGGAGAGCCAGTTGCCTGCAGTTTGCTCAAGCCACGCCGAAGTTTTGCAAGTTTCCCACCCTTAGTCAGCCAGTCGGAGTTTGGAAGAAGCATGCCGTGGCAACGCAGCAAGCGGTTGGAGCAGAGCGAGAATGGAAAGGTGCCTCGGATGCAGTGTGCATTGAGCATGTGTTGAAGCAAAAAGGAGAGTACGACATGCAAAGTTTTCAACCAAAGGTTTTAGCCTCTCGTGTCTTTTGCAGAGCGTGAGCTCAGATTCGTACACCCAGGAAGCAGATCAGCAGCCCATCGCGAAACAGGCTGGCTAGATTGCCAGAGTTGATTGTGTTCGGTTGTTTGCTTTCACGCTCGGTTGTCATAGGGCCAAGTGGCATGTGAGACCTCGGGGCAGTGTTGGCTCAAGGGCCGCTTTGCTCTCAGGTCAATCCCTCTGTCCTTGGGTTGCCCCTCCGATGGTCTTGGATGTTTTTGCCTATGTGACCCAAGGACAGAGGAACCAACAGCTACCTTAGTGCCTTTGGCGCGGTCGGCTGCGTCTGGCGCTGATTCCTTTCAGGAGCAAGAGGCGCCGATGGAAGTGGGCCAGGATCCGAGAGTTCGTCAAGCTGCAGAGCACCCTGTCGTGCTGGACTTGTCCCAGGCGCCAATCACGGAGTGGCAGGGCAAAGGTGGAGATCGTGCAGTTCCAGTGGTCTGGAGGTTGGTTCTCGATCCTAGACGTCTACACTAACGCCCATGGTGGCCAGCTGGTTTGGGTGTGACGCGGAGACCAGGTACGCCGTGAAGGGCTTGGCCGTCTCCGTCGCAGATCTGAGAGCGCGAAAAGAGTCTCAAAGCGGAGGAATGGCTGCTGGTTAGAATTTCGCTTTGACGGCGCTGGCAAGGAGGTCAACCTCCCACTCATCTCTTGGTTTCGCCCAACTACGCCAACCGCAGCTCCAACTCACACTTGGGCCAGCTCACCCACCTAGACTTTGCAGCTTCGGTCCTTCCCGGAGTGGGTCATCCTTGATGACCTACTGAGGCTTCACTCTGCGTTTTCTGGTGGGAGGCTCCCCGCCACGGCACCCCCCTTTGTTGCGGCTTGCAAAACCCCCCTTGCTGTTTGGGTCAGCACTGATCTGGCCCTGGAGGGAAGGACTTGATTTGCTATGCCTACCTCTTGGCTTGCAGGATTTTGCCAGCCGACTCGGAGAACGGGGGTATAAAAAGGGAGAGTTGAACGTGTCCGGTGCACTCTGACACGCAAGGCTGCGCAACTCGTTGACGCTGCAAAGAACAGCAAGTCGCAGTTCACAGCAATCCAGGAGACGCAAGTGAGTCTCCTTCAGCGTTTGCTTCCCGAACAGCATGGGCCGGAAGCCGATGAACTGCAGGCCTGGGCAAAGACTTTGAACATCCTTGGCGCAATCCTTTGGCCAATTTGCCAGCAGTTGAAATTGCAGAGTCACAATATGGGGGCTTTGCCGTGATGACCCGGCCAAAAAAAGGCTCAACTTGCTGGGACTTCCTCATGTCACTCCGAATTCGTTCAACCTCATGGCGAGCCGGGCCCCAAATTCCTTGGCTTGGCACGACAAGGATATGGCTGCCTCACTGACAACACCCCCCCTCAATGTTGTTATGCAGATTGCTGAGCAAGGCCACAACGGCTCAAGTTCTGCATTTCTTGGCGTTTGATACGTCAGATTTTTGTTGTTGCTTGTCTGTATTGAGGGGTTTCACTGGAGGGCCCATGTTATAGCTCCTGCAACAGCTTGTGGCGCAGCATTTTGAGCTGTGATTGAAATCTATTCTGGGTCAGCCGCGGAGATTTTGCCATTCATAATATAAAAAAAATAAATAAAACAAAAAACATACAAGCTAGCATGCAAGCTGGCTGAGTATTTGCCGCGACACATCTCAAAAGCAAACCAATCATTGATAAGACGTTCTCACTTTTTGCTGCCCCTTTATCTTGAGGCTGGAGCTGCGGATGAGACGACAGAGCTTGCACGCCCCCTCGTCAACATTCAAGGAGTTCCTATTGCAGAGCATCTGAATTCGGCCGCATGGCCTGTCAAAGGTCAAGGGCACATCTTGGATTTGTTGCGCAGTAGCAACGAGGCGTGCTCTTGCTGCCGATCGTCGTATTAGGTGCTTGCTTCCTATGAGCATCAATTAATGAGACAAGTTCCAACGCATCCTAAAACATTAAGAGCAATCAAAGGCACTTGTCAACGTGCAGTGGACACAGACACACAGATACAAATGAGCATGTCTTTGTATACCTTCAATCGTTGTAAGTCATATTCCTCTTCACATGCTGCTGGCCCAGAAGTGCACGCAACATGAGCTCACATTTCAATGTCTCACAAAACATGGAGAGTTAGTATTTCTTCAGTCATGTTTGCCGGCCAGCGGCGAAACACGATCCCCATAGGAGTCATAGTCAAGGAGCGCTTCAGAGCTTATAGCGAAGCTCTGGGAAGTCCTTGGACGAGTGATGGAGCTGTTCGCTTTGCAGGGGGTAGCAGGAATGATCTTCTGAGCTGATCGGATACCATCTCAACGGGTCGGTATTCACTTGTATGAAGCCATAGGACAACGACACACGGCAGTCTCAGGAGACCCAAGGACGCAAATTGTGTCGAAATCCAAGCCAGTAGAGATAGTAAAAAGGGAGGGAATTCTGCGCACGCATTGGCATTTGAAAGACAATCTGACGCATGTTGATGGATCAAGCTAAAATGTTGGGTCAATGCCAACAGCAGTCTGACGGTGAATCCGTCCGCAATCACTGACTGTCGCATGTCCAGTTGAGGTCTTGCCTCCATCGCCTTCAGATGTGGTGCTAGCCTAATTTCAGCATTGCTGGGATGAGGATCCCGCACATAGCGTGAGTCGTCTGATTGCAAGGCACAAACACCCCGTGCAACCAAGGTGCAAGAGACTGCAGAGCCTGCGGGAATCTCAGCCGTGAGCGCGCTGCAATCGCAAATAGAACGGGACACTTCCGGTGCTGAAATAGCGAGCTTGCTTATCCACTATGCGAACCGAAGCTCGACTTGCACAACTTGTCAGTTGTCTTTTTACGCATCTTATATGTTTGCCAGGGATGTCAGTTGCACGTCTTAGTTACATCTGCTCTTGCTGAACTCCCGAAGGCTATGCCAGGAGCCAGACTCGTCCAGTTCGTGATCCAGTGTTGAGAAAGAATCCTTCTCCGCATGATGTGGAGCGCTTGACCGACGCCTTTTCCAAGGATGTGCGGGACTTGGGCTTTCTGACAGCCGATTGTATTCTGCGAGAGATAGACAATGCCTGCCGCTTGAGAAGGTGCGCTCAGGGCAAGCTGTTGAATGATCCAAGCTCACCTGAAGTGGGCAACTTGTTGAAAGGCGTGCTGAAGATGTTGTACACCGTCGAAACGGTGTTACACACTGCCTTTGCCACGCAGCCAGTAGTGACGATTGCAGATCTGGAAGCAGCAATTTTGCAGATGCCAGCCTTTAAACAGGTGTCAAAGTTCAAAGAAGCAGAGCTGGGCGAGCTACAGAAGCACCCTGAAGTACTGCGAAGACTGAGACTCAACGAGCCCAGCCTTCCATGTTTACCCATGCCGAAAAGCTTTCCCAGCTTCTCGCATGAGGAGATCATCAAGTGTCTAGTGGCGAGCTTACCACACAGATGGCAACACTGGAAAAATGAGGATAGCTGGACGTTGGAGAAAGGCTTGAACATTGTAGCCCAGCAAAAGGGCTTCTCCGACAGCCGATTGCTGGGTGTTTTCATTCAACAGGAGCATGTTTTCCGAATCATCATTAGCATTTACAAGAGGCGCCAGCTCAATCACAGTCAAGCCTTGGGCAAAGCCGTTCAAACGGCACTTCAGCAGGTGGAACGCGCAAGCAAAAGCAACGGTGCAACTCATCATTTTGACTGGAACTTGTGGCAGCAAATGCTGGTGGCCTTCAGCAACCTGCAGCAGCCGGAGGAAAGTTGGGCAAGTTCTCTAATCGCTGCAGCTAAGGGACAGCTAGGAAGATTCTGAGACTTTGTCACACTTTTAGTCGAGAGATTTGTTGACATCTCTAGGTGTGCTTTGGGGGTTACGGGCTGAGCAGTGCGTTGAATGCCCCAAGAGATGGCAGCCTTGCTCCGGCAGGAGCGCTTTGAATTCTGCCAAGAGTGGACTTGGAAAGCTGCTGGATCCAAAGCGGACACACAGCTTCTCACTTGCAGTGCAGGAATGGTTGTTTTGTGATGTCTAGAAATTAAGGAGCTATGTGCCCAACTACTGGCCTCAAGCTACCAAGTTGAAGGCTACTGTCCGATGCTTCAATTGCGGCAGGCCTAAAAAGACATTGGGATCCTTTTTGATCCTATTTGGCAGGAGGGCTTCGCCATTTCCAGGCCCGAACATTGTTGAAAGCGGCAACTTCTGAGTATGGGATTAGTTTGATACTGGTCCATCGTTTAGAATTTGTTAGTTCCCGAAAGCATCGCGAAGGGTTCTTCCGCGCGGAGCTCTCGGACCGAGTTGTATAGAGTCACTTGCGCAGAAGAGCCGTGCATAGAGCCAAGTGCAAATAGAGCCAAGTGCACAGCGCCGAGTGCATAGCGCTTTGGCATTAGCAGCTATGTAAGTTAAGTTTAGGTTTCTAGGGAGCCGGGGCATATTGGGATTGCGACCCTCTGTGGGGATCGCCGTCGTCGAGGTGCAAAAACTCGTTTTTTTTCTTTTTTCTTTTTTTTCCCGTTTTTGCGGTGCGCGGATGAACTGGTGGTGGACTGGCATGAGACTCTGGAAATTGATGGAAAAGTTCCAGAAAAATGAAGAAGCCCTGAAAAAGCTGCTGGAGGTGGCCCATATCCACATCCTCGCCTGTGGAGTCTAGCAGCAGGAAAGGAAGGCCCACCAGCATGCCAAAGCCCTCAAATGCTTTGGAAAGAATTTGTACAGCAGTTTCACTTCATCATTTTCAGTGCACAATCTTTGGAAAAGGATTGGTGCAGCCTTTGAAAAAGGGCTTTAGGTTCATGCCATTGTGGCTGTACAGTCGGGGGACTGGAAGAAACTAATAAGTAAACCACACCCTGTAGCAGCTGTAGCAAACTAGGTTAGAAACATTTTCATACTCAGTTCATTCCAGTTTGCTTTGTTCATTTTATCCGGCCCCCTGTGCATGTCAGAACACTAGAACTAAATCAAACAAAGAGTGGCTAAACACAAATAATCTAAAATACATGAATATAGATAAAACACATTAAAGAAAACACGTATATACATATGTATATATATATATATATATATATTTGTTTACATATTTTCAATGTATATATGTATGTTTTAAACATATTTTATTTTTGAAAAACAAAGTGGACTCAAGCTTTGGAGAAGGTTTGGGCAAATGAATTGAAACAAACCCAAAAAGATTCTTGACACATTTCAATATTTGAGCTGCCTGTTGAAGTATATTTGGACAGTTTTTTCAAAACATATGTGAGGTTGAAAGCTCAAAATATTGTGAAAGTGTGTACCTCATATTCATTTTTCTTTCAAAACTAAACCAACCCAACAGATTTGCTGGTAGTTCACCTAAAACATGTTCAACATTGAACTCATTTTCAAAACTTATCTTGAAAATTAGATTCACACTCTTTCAAATCTGAAGCTGAAAGCTCAAAATGTTTAGAAAAACTACCTGACTCTTTTCCAAATGTACATTCAAAGCTCAAAATGTTTAGAAAAACTACCTGACTCTTTTCCAAATGTACATTCAAAAAAGGAAAGTTGTAATTGTAAAGAGTTGTTTACATTTGGAACCAACAAATCAAATCTGATCAAATCTGATCAAAAGTAGTGCTTTGATCAGACTTGATCAGATTTGATCAGATTTGGTCAGGTTTGGTCAGATTTGATCAGGTTTGATCAGGTTTGAAAAAGTATTATTCCAAACATAATTCTTTAATTTAGTTTTGAAAAAAAGCAATATTTGGTGTAGGTCCAAACTTATTCCAATTAACTTTTTATTTCACTTATTTTTAAAAACTTTTTCAAATATTTGGTGAAGTTCTTCCAATTTAAACTCTTCAATTCAAAGTTTAAAACTCAAAATCTTTTTATTGCACACATGTTTTTAGTCTTTCAGTTTTTTCATCTGAAACCTTGTCAAGTTAAAGTATTTCTTACTTCTAAACGATTTCAGTTTAAAATCTTGTCAGTTTGCACAAAAAATGTCAACAATTATTTTCAAGTTGAAATATTTTGGGATTAAGATGTATTTATCTCAAACTTTTTGGTTTTTTCAAAGCACCACTTGCCCACAGCTTGTTGGCTCAAACAACAGATGGCTAACTGTCAAGCTGCTCAAACCTGAAGCTGGGTTGGCTAGGAAGGCCATGAAAGCCATGCAGTCAGGTTTGGAAAAGCCTGTGAAGAAGCCAGGTTTGGAAAAGCCTGTGATGAAGTCAGGTTTGGGAAAGCCTGTGATGAAGTCAGCTTTCGGGAAAGGCCAAGGCAACAGCAAAGGCCAAGAGCATTTTGAAAAACAAACTGAACAAAACCAATTTGGAAAAGTTGGGAAATATGACTTTGGGTGAGAAGATTGAAGCAGCAGCAAAGACTGGCAGCTGCCAAGAAATACCTTCATGCCACAAGGGAAGTAGCTGCTCAAGAGTCTTTGGAAAAGAACAACGCTTGGAAGTCAGCAGAGAAACAAATGCTGGACCAATTCGATTGGCAAGAGCTCCAGGCCCACCTGGCCTCAGGCAGGGTCACCTGGAGGCATGACCCTCATACCCCTCAGCAGTTTGACTAGCTCTATCACCAAGAGGCAGTGGGGCTTGGTTTTGCAGACATCTCTGGCAAAGGCGCTGGGAAAGGCCAGCGGGCAAGGAAAGCTCTGGAAAGGAAAAGGCGACAAGAAGTCTGAGCGAGGGGCAGGAGGAGGAAGAAGAAGAGGAAGGGGAAGACACAATGAGGGAAAAAGCTTTGAAAAAGGCGAGGAGGGCCAGAGACCAAGTTGCAAGAGGCTTTGGGAAAGGCCAGCTCCAGATTGAGCCAGAAGGGCGAAGCTGGAGCACCTCACTCAGCAAGATGTTGGTGCAGCTGAAAGCGGTTCTGAGTGGCAAGAAGGAAGTCAAACCTCAAACTGTGAAGCAGCTTCTGGAGGCAACTGCCAAAGTTGTGAAAGGTGCAAGGAATGAAACAAAGGAATTGAAGCAGCTGGCCAACAAGGAGGCATCAGTGGCTGGCAGCAAAAGATCCAGAAGCAGCAAGTGAAAATTTGGGAAAGGTTTCTCCAAAGTTTGGAAAAGCAAAGGCCTTTGCATAAGATGTGCCTTTGGGAAACGGCAGTTTTGGAAGAGAAAAGATGCCTTTGGGCAGTTTTGGAAAAGGAAAGAAAGAAGAGCCTTTGGGAAAGGGCACATGAGTAGTTTGGCGCAGCGTTCCTAGAAAGAGAATGGATCTTGCGCAAATAGCGATTTGCAAGCAAAATGGTGTGGGAAGGTGGCCCAGGTTATCGCCCTTAAGGGTTTGTAATTTTTAAGGTTTTTTGGTGGGGGCTTAATCCAGAAAATTGATTTTCCACAGGGTCCTATAGGGCATGGTTTGGCTGGGTTCCAGTGGGTGCAGCATGTAACCTGTAGCTTGTTGGTTCAAGATGTGCAGGAGTAGCTGTGCATCATGATAACAATTGGAAAGAACTGCCTTTGGAAAAAATTCTGCTCCAAAGTGCAAATTGCAGCCAGCTTTGGTGCGTGGGCTCCCTGCACCCATCCCAAAACAAACAAGGATGCTTGGAAAAGACACTGGTTTTTCTACCCCGCAAAGGACTGGGAAAATAAAACCATTCCCTCGTTCATTCATGGGGATGGTGTGGATTATGCTTGTCTTTTCATGGGGCAGCTTGGCCAGTAACCTCCCAACTTTGCTTAACCGTTGGCTTCTGGCATGCTTCCCCAAGTCTTGTGGCGCAAAGAAAACTTGGGAAGTTATTTGGAAACATTTGCACTGGTCTTTTGAAACTTTGGCGTGTGGAAGGCGTCTCACAGTGGACCCAGATGGCAAGCCTTTAAAAAAGGGTTCAGTGTTTTTTTCAATGAAAGGGCAGCTCCTCCACCCTCAAGGGTTGAAAGGGGTGCTTTGGAGTGTGATTGGGTCATGAATTTTTCAGTAACACACTTGGTCTGCCCCATTGGGCATCTCATTTTCCTTGTTGGGAATGTGATGCTGAAAATTTCACTCCCTGTGCCTTTGGAAAAGGGCACAAGGAGATCTGCTTGGAAAAGCAGAGATTTGTCCTCTACACACATGAAGAGTGTGTGGGTGACCCGTGGAGTGATCATGCAATTTCAAACTCCCTGGGGTCAGCAGCTGCATGGTCAAAGAAAACCCCCTCCATATTCTTTTCTGCAAAGGAATTTATGGCCATGTGATTGGTGGTGTGCTTCACTACTGCTGCTACTATGAAGGGCCAAGGATGAGAATAGCAAAAAAATCTTGGGAAAGGTTGAGTGTTCTGCTTTCACAAACCCAAGTCGTGCATATTACCCAGCAGGAATGCAAAAACCGACTGACAATCCTCCGCCTATCTATGATCTGTGACCCTAGCAGGCCATGGTCAAAGCATCCTGTGTTGCAGAGAACAAACAGTTTTTGCAGACAAAGGCTGCAGAGAATTGATTTGCCAACCCTTAAAATCAAATGTTTTGATTCTAATCTAAAAGCGATGCTCAGGGTAGGGTACTGGACTTGTGCTACAAAGTTGCGACTTTCGAGGTGGAGCTGCGGAAGCGTACTCGCGTACTAGACTTGTACTACAGAATTGCGATTTTTGAGCTGGAGCTGCGGAAGTGTTCTCTGCGCACTAGACCAATGTGTGCTACAAAGTCGCGATGTTCGAGTTGGAGTTGCGGAAAGTGAGCTTCTGCTGTAGTGAGCGACCGGGGGGCCATGAAGAGCGACACCCGTGCCTGCGATGGCAGCCAGCCACGTAATGTGTTTTGGCCGTCGCACATATCTTCAGGCTTGAAATCCGGATGCTATTACATCCTCCGCCTGCTGGGTCTGATTTGTGAGTCCATTTTGACATTCAGGGTGTATCGGATCATATTCTAGCGAGGCAACAACTCAACCTGACATGCGGCCCGCGCTCATGTTTCCATTGAGGTTGGAAAAAGAAAGGAGAGAGTTTTGGCGCCTTCACTGTGCGCCGTTGCTGTTGGCGACCTTCACGCTTGCCACAAGCAAGCGCTTGCCAGCCATCTCCGCGCCGCAGAAGTTGAACTACTCGCGTGCAGATGTGCAAAGTCTTCCTGACCTCAAGTGGCTTGGAATGGAAAGTGCAAAGTGGCAACAGACTTGCAGCACTGGACTCTCGCTCAGTCAAAGCACTGCTTTGCACACTTTTTGGGGTGTTTGGTTCTGACCTACTGGCGGCTGACCGTTACTCTGATTGTTTAGAAAAAGTAACAACAAAATCTCAAGATAATTTAAAGACAAACACACGCTTTGCTTACCAGCACCCCCCCGCTGATCTTTCAGTCTGGCGATGGTCTCAGGTAACTGATGAGTGCTCAATTCACGAAACAAACCCATCAGCTTGCTGGTGCATGGCTTCCCTTGTGATTTGGCACAGCAGGAGACAGAAGCCAACAGCGGACTTGAGGAGGACCAAGGACATTCAAAGAACTCGACATGAAAATGCGACCATCTCCATCAAGTCCGACGTGGTTTCATCTCTCTATGGCGTCTTTGTAACGACTGGCTGCGTAAGGACCACCTGCCTGCTGCAACAGAAAAAGGTTTTGGTGGCAGGGTTTTCTGCCACTCCGCACACACACGCCCCTCTACGAGGGGCGAGGTTTCTCTTTTCTCCTGCAGGAAGATCACATGCTCAAACTCGAATCTCTATCGTTGACCAAAATATCCTCCACGGCGAGGGGAGCGAGACACCGCCATAAACCGCTCAGAAGACGGGAACGAGAGATCACCACGTTGAGCGTTGCGAGTGTCGCCATAGAGGACTGAAGCGATCTTTGGCTGCTTTCAGGCGATCCTGCATGAAAACGGAATTGGCATAGGTGAAGGGTCTCCTCAACTTGAACAGCATCGGAGTTCCAGCGGCGACAGAGTCGCGATCGTATGAATAGTGGGTGCGGAACTCAATCAGGAACAGAATGCGCTGTTGCGGTATTTACCAATCACGGATGTCCATGCGCAGACACAAGCATCAGGATCCGTCACCACTGCCATTCACGGATTTTCAGTGATCGAAGGACCCGCGCAAGAAGCCGGAACCAACTTTACCTGGAACATCTCTCTGATCATCTTTCGGCTTGCCTTTCAGGCCATGGATGCCTTTAGAATCATCATTGTCAGCCAGCCGAGCAAAGAGGCAAGGATGGTTGCGGGCTCCGATCCAGCTAGTAGATGAACAAGCACCATGCACAACCATGTTCAAACAACGGCAAAGCAAGATCATGCAAGTGTAGAGGCCACCCTTATTTTGTACGCTGCGCTGCTCATGCAAGTCTAGTCTTCAGTCAGCTCGAAGACGGGCCTCATCTTGTCTTGGCCGCTGTCGGACGGATTCACGGGCCTGTAGGGGTCGGAGACCCCAATCGTCTCCGATGGTGTGTTTCCACGCGATGCACGTACTGGTTGATGAGGATGGGAGGCCAGACGTGCGCGGGCCGTCAGTTGTTGAGAAATCCCCTCCTGGAGACGAGTCAGTTCTTCAGTGGAGAAATCAGCCGCATCCGAGGACCTGAGAATCGCGTCTAAGAGCTCCGGTGACATACTCAATGCCGCAGACTGCGTGGCCACGTTATGGTGATCGGAGGGATACATGGAATCAAATTCATGACCAGCGTGAGGAGCAGCGATTCTCCGATAGCCCTCTGTGGCCCAGTCACGCTTGTACCACGTAGTGACTTGGACTTGCCCTTCGACTGAGTCCTGGTTGGGAGCATAGAACTCCCGCCATTCTCTGAAAGTATGCGGAGGAGGTGGAGCATCATGTTCTTCTTGAGGCGTCCATGGTCCCGGATGAAAGATCTTGACCCACTGGGCATCTGGTTGTTGAGGGTCCGGGCACCATTCCAACCACGCCATGACAACGCAACCACGGAAAGACAAGTTGATAGGTGTACGGCTGCAGACAACAACGAGTGAAAGCAAATCAACAATCATAATGCAAAAGACCACTTTTGTAGCACTGTGCGGCGCCAACATCAAAGTCAGACTCTCCAGGAAGGCGAGGACGGGCATCAGCTATCATGTGAATTAGATGATGCCGAGGAGGAGGTCAATCCAGCATACATGAGGTCCGGTGCACCCGAAGCGAAAACTGGCCTCGCTATGCTGGGATGTGGACGACCCAGGCGTTGGTACCCCTTGGTGACCCAGCCCCTGTAATACCAAGTGTAGAAGGTGGCGTAGGATAGGTTGCAGAACCGTGCCTATAGTTGTGCCGCCCGTGCTTTCCCTGGGCCAGTACACTTCGAAGTGGTGGACCTTGCGCCATTCCCGATAGGTGGACGGGTCATCCGGGGCCGGTCCCAGGGTGTCAGGGGCTACTGGATGTCACTGACCCGGTACATAGATTCGAATCCATTCCACACTCGTTCCTGCCGGCCCATTGACGACGTCATAGTCAAAATAGCGAGGTAGGACCCATCGTGCTGCACCCTGCACCGTACTATTGAACATTTCAACCCGACAAGCTGCTCAAAGTTATCACGGAAAGCGGCGGACATATAGAGGCGACATGCACAGCACCAAGCAAGACAACCCAATGAGGACTCACATACAAAGCAAGCACAACCGCATCTTTATCCAACATGCTACTCAAGTGTCAATCCGAATCATTCCAAGGATCATGGAATGGCGGCGGTGACGGTTCCCGCCACGCCCCATCCGGTACCGACGAGCCCACCGAGGACTCGATGTCTGCATTGACGAGCATCGCGAATCCGATGGATTGGACAGGAGGTCCAAGTCGTTGGTACCCTCGCGTTTGCCAGTCTCGGTACTCCCACACGTGATAGGACACATAGGAACTGGGCGTGGCTATAGGATCCATTGTGGTCCGGTGCTGTCTTCAGACCAGTACACTTGGAAGTGATATGATCTGCGCCACTCCCGAAACGTGGAAGCGTAAAGTGGGTCCGGAACTGGCGCCTCCTCAGGAACGGGCCTCCAAATGCCCGGAGAGTAAATTCGAATCCATTCCACTCCTCTATCGATCTGGTACTCGAAATACTGGGGGTTCATAGCAGCAATACGGGCTTGCACGACTGCTAAACCAATCGAAAGTCTGCGGCAAGGACACACATGCATTGCCAACCGCACACATCCACTGAGGAGCGAGGCAACTTTTCAAACACAAGGTGAAACGGATCAACGAGGTCTGAAATGTCTGACACCTGGCTTTCACTGTCTTTGATGTCGCGCACACCTGCAATGATAGTGACCTGGTCGTCTACGAGCACAAGGGGAAAGACATTTCCGTCCATGGCGCAGGATGGCGTGACAGTAATGCTTGCATGTTGCCGATGGGGATTGCGATGGACGGCCAGCACGTTTGGAATAAAACACTGTAAAGGGCCGTCGAGATCGCCGCGGCGCTGAAGCTGATGCTGTCCGAGATCGTTTGGACGAGCGCCCTGGACTGCGTGGTTCTTCATCACGGGAAGGATCAGTGCTGTAGATCGAGCGGCGATTTCGAAGAGGTGGGGCAGGATTGTCCGCGAGGGGCTGAGATCGAGGGGCTGCGTACCGAGGGCATAAACTGTGGGTGTAGAATCACCGGTGGTGGTGGTGGTGGTGGAGGAGGAGGTGGAAGAAGCAATGGCAGACTTGGCGGGGGCGGAGGCGACGTAGTCTGCCGAATGGGTCTGTCGAGTAAAGCCCCGGGTCCATGAAATTGTAACCACGTCGGCTGCGCTCCATGGGTCCAGGTAATGTACGTCTGTACAACTTGTTCTGACATGATTTGAGCAACTCAGGCAAGACATCACTGCATGTCAACGACATCTCACAACACGACAAGCAAGATTGAGTCACGTGCAAGCAAGGACACACCGCCGCCGCTTATCATTTGGTCCATCAATGGTCGCTGCTGCATTTGCAGGGCGTGTTCCTAGCCGCGAGCCTCAAGTTGTTGATAGACCTTCCATGCCTGCTTGACTTCCTCAATCGGCTTCTGAAGAAACCGCGCAATGGTCTTATAGGTGGGCCTGGAATCCTTATCTTTCTTCCGTCTCACCAGTTCATCCAGCTCGCCCTGTGTCCATGCCGTGAAAGGTTCACGGTATGCATTGCGAAGTGCAATGGTAAATTCTCGTAGAAGTTCTCGAGGACCATGGACCACCGTCGGCGACGGCCGGAACGACGAGGCACCTGGATGCGGATGTACCGAACCATCAGAATCCGAATCCGGTGTCGTGGGCGTCGTCTGTCCTGGTTCTCGTCCACCGTGTGCCGCGAAAGGAGCAAGAGGACGAGGCGGTGGCAGTCGATCTAACACAGATTCGGGCCGAGTACCCGGATTGTGTTCACTAGCATCACGATGTGCGGCTCGAGGCGGGGACAAAGCCGGTATGTACCAGGTAGATGACGTGTCCACCGGTCGAGCCCGAATGCGTGTGGGGGATCGAGATCGGTCAGAGGAGGCGAGCTCCGTGATGATGCGGGGCCGCAACCCATGTCTGGAGTTTCTTGGTGCTCTCGGGGTCACCACCGTGTCTGTCGGACGACCACGCTCCGTCATCAAGGCAAAGTTCAGTGTGTCCAGAGCTGTCGCAACTTGGGATGCAAGGACATTGAGCACAGCCACCAGGTTGTTCACAAACTCAGCTGACAACTGCATGGCAACCGATCAAACCACAAGGTCAACTCACGCAAAGCTGCAAAGTGATAATGCTGCGGCATGACAGAGATACGGTGCATGCAAGCATGAACGAAGCAAACGCTGAGGTACTTTTGTCGCTGTTGCTCCGTCACCGTTCATAAGACAGACCTGATGGTCTGCAAGCTGGCATGGCTTTGACCGCCGGTGGATACTTAGGTGTGTGAGCATGACGGCGGACCACGGGAACCGCATGAACAGGACGGTCTGGAAGCCGTCGATGATGGCTGCGGGATCGTCTCCGGTGCGGCTCTCGATGTCTAGATCTTCGCCTTCGTCTGTGCTCCCAGGAGGTGCTAACACTCACCGTGCGCACGTGAGCAGGGTGCTCCGCACGGCTATCCGTGGTGGCCACAAGAGTGACCGGCGTTGCCATGTGGTCAGGTCTGACCGATGTTGCTGGCAAGTACGGCGGCGCCGTGGACGGCGGAGGCAGCGGCGGGGGGTGAACTTCCGGAATG